GGGTTTTTCCTAAATGAGGTTTTTAACGAGGCATCCCCCCAAAATGAAACGAAAAGTGTCACCCCTCGATTTCATATTGCAGACAAGCAGTACTCTACTCCTTTTCACCACTTTGCAAGTGCCTCAAGGAGTGGGGGACTGGAGAACCCCCCTCGGGAAAAATCAAATGCTAAAAACTCCCGCAAACAGCAAACATGCCCCCTCAAGTCCCGACATGTGAGTAACTGAGGGACTGCCCTCGGCAGAATAAACAAACAGCAAACTACCCACAACTCTACAAACTACAACGGAACAACGGCAGAGGACAAACACAATTACTCCTTTTCCCTCAAGTACCTTTCGGCAAAAGGAGTGAGGGACTCCTGATGGAGTATATGGCCCGGGAACCCCCGGCCCACAGACTCCTACTACTCCAATAAAGGCCCAATAGGCCCAGGAAGCACAACAGGCCCAAATCACGGCGCCCAGAGTACCAGACGGCCCACAATGCGCACCAGGGGTGCCTTCGGCCCCCTGGCCGAAGGCTCTGAATCTCACAGAAGGGTCAAAACAGGAAGACAAGGTTACTGGGAAAAAACGGCGAAAATCAGTAGCCCTCGACACCTAGAGCCCTCGGCACTAAGGGGGTCCCCGGTACTCAGAGCCCTCGGCTAATCATCTACAACCGAGGGCACCTTTCCGACATAATATCCGCTCCACATGCGCGTAGATCACCGTACCAAGTACGACATCACATCCAACAGCCGCATTAAATGCGGCCACATGCGATTGCCAGCGCCAACCAGTTGAGGTGACCCTCGGCCAATGGACGCTTGACACGTGTCCCTATCTGGCATTTATTGCTACTATAAATAGCACCCCATTTCCCCGTTGTAAACCACGCTGAAAACGCTGAATACATTTTCTAATATACTCTCTCTCTACTTACTTGCTCTGACTTCTCTCTACTTATTCCCCGTAATAACCCTTTGGATAAGCTACCCCCCGGGTACACCATCCATCACCCGCGCATGCTGCTGGATCATCACCTCATCAGCGTCCGGATGAAGCACCTGGAAGTGCTCCCTCAACCATGGCATTCTCAGGGATGACCCCTGAAGGTCAGTCCGAAGAACGGGACGAACACCTAACAAGCGCTCACACTCATCTACCCACTGTCGACAAGCAGTGCCTGTAATAGCTCTCCCATGAACCTGTAGCCCAGTAAGTACAACAACATCTCCCAAGGTCACTGTTACCTCACCAACAAGAGAAAGTCACATTGCCTTTCTTTGACATCTTGAGTTCCTCTTCCATATTTTGGAGTTTCAAAAGACCAATTCCACGAACACAACACTTGATTTCAGCTTGCATCTCTAATTTTTTCATTCGGAAATTCTCTTCAACACTGGTAATCTTCTGAAGCAAGGTCTCTATTCGTCTCAGGCAAGTGCCACATTGTTCATCCTCAACCCATTCAAAGAAATTGCACTTTTGACCACTCAAGAAACGACCACACCCATAAAATCTTCCCCCCCTATTTTTGTCTGTTGTAGCAGTCCACACTGGTGTTTGGAGTCCACAGTCACACCTCCTAATTCGCCTTGTTGCATCCATCGACCAGGACTCAGCACTCGAATAACTCATCGCACCTTAATTTTTTTAGCATTAATAAAGTTTAAATTATCATTTCCACTCTTAATTCGTTAATACGCGTGGATTTGAATGAAGATTTCTTTGTTATCTCACCTTAATTTTTTTAGCATTAATAAAGTTCAAAAATTTAACAAACTTCAATTCATACCTCCAAATCTACATTACATAACAAAGTTCAAAAAAAAAATTATATAACAATGAATTCAACATCAACATACAACACTTCATACATATTCACATTACACAACAAATCAATTCACAAATGAATTCCTAATTCACAAATTCCAATTTTCTATATTCTAAACCCTAAAATGAAAAATGAGATAAATTGGAGATATTTGTTTACCTAGAGTGTTGAAGAATATGAAAGGAAAGTAGTATTGACAAGATATGGAGGCCTTGTCGTCGCTCGCCGGAGATTAACCTTCGCCGGAGTCGGGGGGAGGTGGGTCGCCGCACTTCGCCGGAGTCGGGGGAGCTGCAGAGGGTTTGGGAGTTTTGGTGATTTGGGGAAAATGTTGCATTCTGCCCGAACCCGACTTATGTTTAAGGGGTAAGTCGCCCAACGGTTGGGCGACTTACCCTACCACGATTAAACCCAGCAGTAGATCCGTAAATACTTTTAACCCAACATTATTTTCGTAATTAATTAATTAATTAGCATTAATTCGAAAAAAACTCCAATTATTGGTGTAAACACCTACATTACTCATCCCATTACACTATTAACATACATTTGACTTGGGTGTGAGGTTCGAGATTTTGCAATGTTCACATTCAAGAAGACAAAATACTATGAGTGCATAAAAAGTATATACACGACGATATATATTGTGGGAAATAAAAACGACGAATTCTATGTTACCTTAATATATTATATGTTGCTCATATGGTCTAATAAAAATAGGAAAATTGCTTTTTTACACGCCGGGTTACACGCCTATCAAATTGTATGTGTACAGACAATTTGATCGACTACACAGATATATTGAACGGCGATTTACGAAGAAACTCGATTTTCACACAGACAAAAAAAAAAATATCTGTATCACAGACATTTTATGAAGAATTCAGGTTTAAAATGTCTGTGATACAAAAAACTCTTGATATTTGGTTTGTATAAAAATTGATTTTCTTCACAAAACGCCGGTCAAATTGTCTGTCTAGTCGATCAAATTGTTTATATAAAGACAATTTGATCGACGTGTAACCTGGCGTGTAACCGGGACTTATAAAAATATTAGTCGTATAACAATTGAATAATTAATGAAAGCTGATTCAGGTCTACCCTCGCTTTTTACTGGTCCCTCGCTTTTTACTGGTCCATAACAATAACACTCACCTTAGAAATAGTTGATTTTTTGTAAGGAAATTAAGTTTCCATACTTTTCTTTTTTGAAGAAGTTTTCATACATTTCCAACAACCCTAAAAAGTACAAATTTCGTCATGCCGGCCTATCAACATTTTCTTATGGCCTTTTTACTTGATTTATATTTCTTAAATTGACATAAAACAAAAAAGAATTGGAATAAAGACTCTCTGATCTCTCCCCTTGATGACCTTTAGATACTCCGTATAATTTAATTTGTTCTTCTTCCAAGCAATATATTTTTAATTAGATCGAACCAAACATAATTTTTAGTTATGACAATTCATCAAGTTCAAGAAGTTAATATATACTCTAATATGTAGGAAAGAGTAAAGACCAGTAATTAATGATAAGCAAAACCAATCAAAAAATAAAAGGTGGGATCCAGGTAAAATACACTACTGGTGGTTGGAGAGAATTCCATTCCATTTAATGTCCCTTTTAAAAGGGCATTCATCATTTAATTTTGTATAATAACGATTAAATCCATCAATCAATGGGGATATATAGCTCAAGTGTGAAGTGCGCAGCTCTCTAATTCGAACTTCCAATATAATTCAACTGCGCTTCCTTTCCCAACTCTGCTTTTATAATTAATCAAAGATAGGGATGGATCATGGCCAATCCTAAGAGATTTTTGGTCCGAGTCCAACGGTAAAAAAAGACCCTCAAGAATTTTTGGTGAGGAAAGTTCATGTCCGGAATTCCGGACAGGAACCGCCATCCGGACGACCGCGTTTGGCCATCTTTCCGGTGGAATTTTTTTGATGAAATTTTTATGTCATGTTCCTCATGAAGTCTAGTTTATCCACAAAAAATGTCAGCTAAAAATTCAATCGGGAAGGCCGTCAAATGGTTTTTTTAAGATAACTGCGCCAAAATATACATATAAAAAGCAGTTAACTTCCAAAAATTATTTGACGGCCTTTCAGGTTGAATTTTAAGCTGAATTTGTTTGTGGATAAACTAGATTTGATGAGGAACATGCCATAAAAATTTCATCAAAAACTTTCACAGAAAAGACGGCCAAACACCACCGTCCAGACGGCGGTTCCTGTCCGGAATTCCGGACATGAACTTTCCTCTATATAAAGGTAACTAATAAATTTCAGGGGCCCTAATTTTTTCTCCAAATTTGTGGGCCTGAGGCAGTTGCCTCTTTACCTCACGTAGAGGTTCGGGCCTGGGATGGATATACATACACACTTAAACATATACTCTCATCCTGCATCATACCGAATTTGGATAAATTTTACTTATAATTTTCATTTTTTATCTATAGATGAAATTTGTACATATTTAGCACACAATACACGTAATTTTGTGTGCACACATACAATGCGTACACAGACAACTCGTGCAGACACACAAACTACGTGTAATGTATGCGAAATATGTACAAATTTTGTGTACAAATACGTTTTTTCGAAACCTTGAGGAGAGCTCTTAAGAGTGATGTTCAGAGATTCAGAAGAGTGAAGAGACGTATTGAGAGAGGCAAGAGGAGTGTGAGACACTTCTTATGAAAGACGAGCATCCAAGGATATATGTCTAACGATAAGTTTAAGTGTATCCCTGAACCTGAAAGGAAACAATTCAAGAAGACTCCTCATTCGTGTGTAAAATTTTTTACATGTATACTTGTAAAATATCTATAGTAAAAATTTATGGAGGAAATGTTTTGTGTTGACCCAACTCAATATATATATCCTCGGTATCAAGCTGATCTTAGTCGGACAAGAATAAGCCTGTTCGTGCGCCTATCTTCCAAATAGTCCAATATGAAACCTGATTTGAACAAGAAATGAGTTGGCATGGTCAACGGGGGCGTGGACCATCTTGGCCCACAGCTACAAAGTATATGGGGCAAAGAGTGTGAATTGAAATGACATTATTAGAAAAATTAGAGCCCAAATGGGTCCGTGATCCATGAACACGCTAAGGGTTGTTACGGTATATATCACTTTTAATTATGTTTTCTTTTCAAAGTCAAGCCGCTGTATATATATATTTCCACCCGACCGAGTACAAAGACTTCTTATACGTACATATACGCGTATTTGATTCCTACTCTATAGTCTATATAATCTACGTATTTCCTTCTTCCCTTCTTTCCCAAACAAGGAGGAATATTAGCTAGCAAGCTAGAGGCCAGTATATATATATAGAAACACTCCCTAATTAATGATCATTAAAGAGTAATTAAAAGAAATGACTCTCAAGATTGTCATCAACCATATGATCCCAGGCTGCTTTAAACCCAGCAGGAAAATCCGCCACGCCATTGATCGGACCAGAAAAACCCAACAGCCTTCGACCGGGCACCAGAGGTTGTCGGTTCACGATCTCAGCGACCCGGGCTCGCCGCTATCTGCCATGGATCTCTCGTCCAACTCTGTCATTGGCTCTAGCCTCCACGTCTTCACGCTATCTGAGCTGAGAGTCATCACCGGCGACTTCTCCTCAGCAAATTTTCTCGGCGAAGGGGGGTTCGGCCCGGTCCATAAAGGCTTCATTGATGACCGGGCTCGCCCCGGATTGGCGGCTCAGCCTGTCGCCGTTAAGCGGCTCAATTTGGACGGCGATCAGGGTCACCGCGAGTGGCTGGTAATAATTCGTACATGCATTATATACAGTACTAGCAACAATTTTTTTAAACAAGCTAAAGATCTTTACGCCTGAAATGAAGTACTACTCCACCTCGGAAAATATATGATTTCAGTTTGGTACCTTTACTATAAAATCAAACATATTATTAATACCATAATTATTATACTTAAATATTTACACTATTATTGTCATTATTCCAATTCCGGGCAAGAATCTTACTTGGCAACCGGAATTATTCTACCCGTACAATCCATTGTACATTAATTTTAGAAAAATTATTGTTGTACACAAATTTAGTACACAACACTCTACTTCCCTGTACACAAACAATTCTTTTGAAAAATAACAAAATTTTATGCCAAAATGCATGTGTACACACACAATGTACAATCATTGTACACCAATAATTACTCTTAATTTTATCCATGTCACCAATATAAGGCGGCTGTGCACAGGGGCGGAGGTGGAGGGGTGGCCAATCGAGTCCCAGCCTAGTCCAAATTTTAAAATTGGTTATATTTTTAATGTAAAAATTTATATGTAAAAAAATTAATCTGTAAAAATTCTTTGTACCGGCTACGCCCCTGGTCGTGCACATGCCATTTTGGTTGCCCCGTAGGACTTTTTGGCCCAAATTTGAATAGCAGTGTTGTTTGAAACATTTACGTATAATTAGGATATTGATATATTTCACTTAAGAGTTATGCCAAGGGCTCAATATAGAACTAAAACATACACAAAGTTCAAAAATAGGATAAATAAACTTTATTCCCCCAATACGACTTATTTAATTCAATTACAAGAATATGTTGGTTAAAACTTCCCAAAATTGAATTGTATCATGCGCGTCACATTAGGCTGCATTAGCATCTATTGGACCTCAATCAGTCCTTACATAATATCAGGAGGGATCGGTGGGTCTAGCTCAACTGGTAGCAAAGTAGTGCCACAAGGGTTAGGTCTCGGGTTCGAATCCCGACAACTGCGATGATGGGTTACTATGCTAAAAATGCATAGGGCCTCTGCAAGTACCGGAGACAGAGCCCCACTCTCTATCTGTCAGATTGGGATTATAGTCCAATTTACATCCTCCCAACGTACCGTCCGGTCGGGATTGAAGGGCCCTCAGGGATGGGGTGTCATCCTTTTTTTAATATAATATCAGGAGGGGTAGAGCTAGGGGTGGCCGCGGGGAAACCCAAATTTGAATAGAGTTTGTATTATCTATGTAAAAGTTTATGCTCAAAAATATATCTGAAACAATTATTTGTAACGGACCAATCTAACAGGTATTCTTCGCTACACCTTACGTGATACTCTCTCCGTCCCTGAAAATATTACCAACTTTCCCTTTTCGTCCGTCCCAAAGAGAACTTCACTTTTCTCTTTTTGGCAAACAATTTGTAGTTCACAGCAATTCTTACACATTTCTTTCTCCCTTGCATAACTCTCCACCACACAAAACCCACTTTCTTAATCCGTGTGCCATTTGTACTACGGAAGTAAATTATGGGACGGAGGAAGTAGATAGTTCGTACGTAGTATTAAATTAATTCGCACTGCATTAACCGCAATATTTACTGCAATGGCAACCTCAACCACATTCAGCACCCCGACTCGAACCCGTTGGACAGGTCCTAGGCGATAAGCTCTTGTGAGGGTTATTGCTAGCCGGGCGAGTGTATCTGACCCCGGCAACGCACCAGAGTAGGACAAAATATACCACGGGATTGGTTTTGAAGATCCCGTATATCGCTAGGCTTTTTATTAGTTAGCCCTGGTAGAGTATTCTTCTTTATGAACTTACCTAAATTAGTCATAATCAATGTTCTAAAAAGCGCCATGCGCTAGTCGGATGCCAGCTCAGTGCCTGGCGCCTAGGCGGATGCTTAGGCGGGGACTAGTCGGAAACATAGAAATTATAATTTTATCAATTTGTTTTTGCATATACGCGATTAGTAATGTTGTGTTAGTTGTGTTTGTGCGTGTATAAACACACACACACACATTAACATGCATGAATGATAGAGTTATCACATTTAATACTCCGTAATATACTTTACCTACTCATTTAATTTCATTATGTAATAGATGATATACAAAATAAAATAAAATCATATTATATACAAACACGTATAGTTTTTACATTAATTTATAACTAGTAGCTTTCTTTATATGTGTTGTTAAAGTTAATGGTATATATATACGGAGTATTTATTTATTTAATTTTAGGAAACTAAATTATAAAACCAAAAAAATATTCGGCAAATTTAGACGCTCTTGGCGACAGATTAAGCGCTTTGGGCAGGCAACTAGGCGCCCTAGCCGGTCTACTAATTCATCTAAGCGCCAAACCAATTAATCGGAGCGCCTGGACGAAAATCGGGGCGCCCGACCACCGCCTATCGCGTATGCGGGGACTAGTCGGGTGCTGAGAGCGATTTTTAGAATGGTGGTAGTAATGTTGAAGATGTCCAACTTTTGACAATCATTTCCTGCCAGATACTTTCACAAAATTATACTCCGTAAATGATATACTCCGTATTTTCCAACAAAACTTTTTTATTGGTGGGACTTTACACATGTAACCTGTTATTACAAAAAGTCAAACGTCTCGTTTTTATTTTTTAAGTGATAGAAATGAAACACGGAGTACATTTTAAAGTATATTCTATATATGAAAATAATTCATGGTACGTCACTGCCTCACTGGCCCGTAACCGAATCCACATTGCTTTTTAGAACATTGCCCCTTTACTCTTAAAAATGATACATTTTTCCTGATTTTTTTTCATGTTTATTATTGGGGTTAGGTGGAAGTGATTATTCTAGCTCAATTGAAGAATCCCCATTTGGTGAAATTGATCGGATATTGCTGGGAGGCTGATGATAGGCTATTGGTTTATGAGTATATGACTAGAGGCAGTCTGGAGAATCATTTATTCAGAAGTGAGAAACAAGTTAAATCCCACTCTTATGTATATATATTAGGCTTCTTCTAACAGGAAAACAGATTTTGATATAAGCTATCTTTCATATTATGCAGGACATTCTACTTGTTTGCCATGGATGACTAGAATCAGAATTGCACTTGGGGCTGCAAAGGGATTGGCTTTCCTTCATGAGCAAGAACAACCAGTCATATATCGGGACTTTAAGGCTTCGAATATATTACTGGATTCGGTACGAAGAATTTGATTAAGGGTCTCGCTTTTTACTACAACAATGTGTGTGATGCATGATATCAATTGTAATTAACTTAATTATATAAACTCTTCGGAGACTCTGCAAGCACTTCTTTTTCTATTAAAGTATGGCGCTTCTCGTTTCACTTTTCGCATGTTTGCGTGCAACATAGAATGTATTGTAACCTCTGATATTTTTTCCCTCAGGATTACACTGCAAAACTCTCTGACTTCGGACTAGCAAAGGACGGTCCAGAAGGTGATGAGACGCACGTCTCAACTCGTATCATGGGCACTCATGGTTACGCTGCACCCGAGTATCTCATGACAGGTGAATTATTTATTTTCCTCAAGCACAATGAAACTTTTGTTGCGGTGAATCGTCACACGCATCTCCCATTAACACTTTCTTTGCGTTATTTTAGGCCACTTGACATCTTTGAGCGATGTGTATAGCTTCGGAGTAGTCTTGTTGGAAATAATAACGGGAAGACGAGCCATGGACAAGAAGAGGCCTAGGAGAGAGCAGAATTTGGTGGAATGGGCTAAGCCTTTGCTGAGAGACTCACATAAGCTTGAGAAAATACTGGACCCGAGACTCGAAGGAGAGTACTCAACCGAGGGAGCTAAGAGGGTAGCAGCATTGGCTTACCAATGCTTGAGCCACCATCCCAAGTTCAGACCGACGATGAAGGACGTAGTGAAGAGGTTGGAGCATGTCTTGGAGTTGCGAGACATGCCGAGTGGGCCTTTCGTTTACATTACGCCATTCGATTCACAAAACGATGTGATTAAAGTGAAGACAAAAGAAGGTGAAGCAAAAGAGGTAGAAATGGAGAAGAAATCTTGTAGTGAAGATGTACCTAAAGTAGCAGCTCAAAAACAAGAGAAGAGACATAGGCAAGACAACTTATATGCACGACAGCACAAATAAGGAAAGAATTCTGGTTTTAATGGAGTACAACTATCTCTAATCAATTGAACATACATAATTAGGTACTAAAAGCCCTTTACAAGTGTTTGTGAATCATCCTTTTGTTTTTGTTAAGGTTGGGTTACACTCATCCTTATACCTACCTGTGTTGGTTTATTTGGACACAGCAATATAAACAAACATTGCATTTTAAGAATGAACTGAAGAAAATAGAAACTTAGAATTTTGTAAATAGTTAGTGAGTCTAATTTGTTGTTTACTTTGTTGTTACAAAAGATTGTATAATAATCCAAACCATAACTTTTTGTTGTCCTATGTGAAACAACTATATGATTTAAGTAAAGATATTATTTAAATTCCATCTAATTTATTTGGTACCACACATTCATTTGACCATTATTTTTCTAGTCAACGGGCTATGGCGGCAGGTATCTTGTGAGCTAAATGTCAAACTTTGTATGTATTCAAAATTTCAGAAGTCTTGAGACGAAATATAAGAAGGCACATAATGCAAATGTAACTAATTAGCTAGGAAAGTTCTTCTCAGAAATATAATGTCCAGTTCAACCGTCATTGTCGTCTCTTAATTGTCGACTTAATTTCAAAAGCTTTCCAGAAACTAAACTGAGAAGTTAAAGATCATTACAAACTTTGTTTTCTTTCACGTAAATCTTAATTAATTATGAATGGTTAAATTCAAAATAACTTTCTGGGGAATTATCTCTTAATATAAACCTGCAGGGTTAGAAATAGTAAAAATCTATAGTAGAACTCAGGAACTTACTTTTCTTGTCAGATAATTTTGAAAAAACAAATTAAAACGGGACAAAAAGAGGAAGTAAAGAGCCAGGCCGGTGCATTCATAAATAAATTGACAAATACGTCAAAACTTATTTATATTTTACCCTGTCATATTAAGTTTATTCTCAAAATTGGTCGATCACAAAGACTGTCCATACAAGTGACCGAGTCGATGGTCAATCCGAATTCGCCTCAGGGGCGGATCTAAGCGGTGCTTATACCGTGAGATCGGTGCACGGTGAGCACCATGTACCCTTTGTTATTTTCTATTTCTCCCTTTCTTAAAATTGTTAATATTTTTTTTTATTTTTGATCTGATTTTTATAAAAATTATATCAAATTTTTTTATTTTTCACGATCTTTCAAATGAGACCAATATTGCCTATGTAATTTTAATTTTTTACATTCATACGTTTTTTGTAATATATTTTTATATGCATACACTTTTTCTATAATATATTTTTTTATCACTTTTATATGATTTTAGAGGTTTTTAAGATATTGAGTTTGTTTATTTTGCTTCTAGCTTGGAGTTACATTTGATAATATACGAAGTAACATCATCTTATACTCCAGTTACAAGTTATTATGTGTGAGTTACATCTTGCTATACACGAGTTACATACTTTTATGCGAGAGTTACGTGTAATTATGTGTGAGTTACATCTTGTTATACACGAGTTACATACATTTATGCGCGAGTTACATGTAATTATGGGTGAGTTATATCTAATTATTTGTGATTTTTTACTTATTTTTATCTTGAACTAATTCAATTATAACTGAATTAATTTTTTTCTTTGCCAATTTAATACAAAATTTTATTAATCCACATAAAATAAGTATATTGTATTTCATATTCATACACTATTTTTTAAATGATAAAAATGAAAGATGTAGCAGGGGTTTATTTCATGGTGTAACTCACATACATTAAGATGTAACTCGTGTATATTAAGATGTAACTCGCGTACAATAAGATGTAACTCGCGCAGAAGAAGATGTAACTTCATGATATATTATCAAATGTAACTTCAAAATAATTTGTTAAAATTACATAAGCAATATTGGTCTCATTTGATAGATCATGAAAAAAAAAATTGATATAAAATTTATAAAAATCGAATATCAAATAAAAAAGCTATTACAATTTTTAACAATAAAACAAATAAAAAATATGAATGCTGCGTCGTTTTGGGATCGGGCGCACCATGAGCCGATCCCAGCATATAAACTGCGGATCTAAGACTGACATTCAGGCGGGATCAAAATTATTTAAAGATGTACTCAATATATTACAAAAAAATGTCAAAATGTAGTACTCCTTAAATTAATACTCCGTATGTATTTAAAAAATTGGAAAAATTGAAAATAATAATCCCAACTATTGCCGATCTGCTAACAATAATCTCAACTATTGATAATTTTTGTATAATCCCAACTATATGGACCGTCCGCCAATAATGGTCCATGACCAGATATTACCTCCTATATATAACAAGTGAATTTTAAATAGAAATTATGCATAATAATTAAAAGTTGAGATTATTTATAGGGATTACTTGCCATATCTCTTCTCATCCTCTTTAGAAACTACATGAATTCATTTATAGCCGGTCACGTCAGACCATTATTGACGGAAGGTCCCTAAAGTTGGGATTATTCTGAAATAATGAATAGTTGAGATTATTATAAGTGGACCACCAATAGTTGGGATTATTAATATCACTTTTTCCTTAAAAATTTCATTTTCATGTGCAAAATGACATCTGTTACAACATAAATGTGTGTTGAGTTTAATCCAACATGATATAATAAATATAAATATAAATTGGTATGAATACTCGATTTTACGTGGAAACCCGGAAAGGGAGAAAACCACAGGACTGTTTAGGCTAATGTCCAAGCCCGCTCATTTTATTAATACCCTCCTCACCTTTACATTGTACAAACCCCATTAATGGAGTATTCAAGCTAACTATCTAGAGAGAGGGAGAAGAAGAGAAGGGGCTCCTTAAACATGTGGGAAAGCCTCATATTTATAGGGGAATGGGGAAGGGTGCTCTCCGCCCTAATGGGCCAAATACGGGCCTGCTGGGTCGGATGGCCAAAATGGGACGAAACAGACCATACTGAACGGGCTCCGTACTATGTGAAGTCATGGGCTCCTGAACAGTAATAGGCCGGGATAATATATCCCAACACAAGTCCCCAGTTTCTTGAGTAGTGAGCGTGCGAATCTGCTCGAGAAAATATACTCTTGCCTGTGCTCTTCCTCTGTCTTGCTGGAAATTGTATCTTCGAATAATCATAAAATATGAGTGGGTTGCTGCCCCTCTGAATATACCCTGCCGGTAAGGCGTTCCCCTCCCGACGGGGTCGGGCAAGGGATGCTCTTCCCCGGACACTCTCCCTCTGAATGTATCAGGTGGGAGTAGAGGACTCTGACTCGAGCTTTCCAATGGAGAAGCTTAGAGGTCCCTGCACAATATAAGCTGACGACATGGAGACTGGCTCGATGTGATGTATATGTATGTATGGATGTATGAGAGATGATGCATGAATGTATGAATGCATGTAATGTATGGGTGCAATGTATGAGAGAGGACATGTAAGATGTGATACAAAGCGATGGATCTCATCGGTAAACTGGGCACACCGGCGCTGAGGGGCCGAGCGTGGTGCATAAGATGTTCGTTGCCATGGTGTGGTCTTACGTCGAATGAGAACCGGACACGAATGGCGTTGAGGGGCCGTTCGTGCTGCATAAGACGTTCGTCGCCACCCTGGAAGGTATGGACGAGCTAAACATGAACTGGATACGATGGCGCTGAGGGACCGATCGTGCTGCATAAGTCGTTCGTCGCCATCCTGGAGGGAATGAGTGAAACCGAAGATGAGCTAGAAATGATGGCGCTGAGGGGCCGATCGTGCTGCATAAGACGGTGGTAGCCATCCTGGGAGAAATGTGCGAGCCGACCGTGAAATGGACCCGATGACGCTGAGGGGCCGATCGTGCTGCATAGACGGTGGTCGCCATCCTGGAAGGAATGTACGAGCTGACCATGAACTAGACACAACGGCGCTGAGGGGGCGATCGTGCTGCATAAGACGGTGGTCGCCATCCTGGTAGGAATGTGCGAGCCGACCGTGAACTGGACACGATGGCGCCGAGGGGCCGATCGTGCTGCATAGACGGTGCTCACCATCCTGGAAGGAATGTACGAGCTGACCGTGAACTGGACACGATGGCGCTGAGGGGCCGATCGTACTACATAAGACGGTGGTCGCCAACCTGGGAGGAATGTACGAGTTGACCGTGAACTGGACACGATGGCGCTGAGGGGCCGATCGTGCTGCACAAGACGGTGGTCGCCATCCCGGGAGGAATGTACGAGACGACCGTGAACTGGACACGATGGCGCTGAGGGGCCTATCGTAAATATGAATGTGACGGTGGTCCTCATCTGCTCATCGTACCTGCCCTTTAGCCCGGTCCTTTGGATCCTGAGCTTGGAGTTAGATCTTCGGATTTGGTGAGGAACGACACTTTCCCCTCTGAGGATTCCTTGATTGTTATTCTTCCATCCGTTCATCGTAACCACCTTTCAGCCCGACCCTTGGGGTTCTGAGTTTGGGTACAGCCTCACCTCTTTGGTGAGGAACTGCTTGTTCCCCTTTGTGGATTTCTCTCCTTCCTTGATTCTTTTATTTGATCCTTCTTTGTATTCTTTTATTTGATCCTTTTTTGGATTCTTTTATCTCTTCGTTCCATCATCCGCTCATCGTACCCGCTCGTTTAGCCCGGTCCTTGGATCCTGAGCCGAGCGTAGCCAACGTTGCCGGTGAGGAATGACCTTCTCTTCTTGTATGATCCTTCTTTGGATTCTTTTATTTGATCCTTCTTTGGATTCTTTTATTTGATCCTTCTTTGGATTCTTTTATCTCCTCGTTCCATCATCCGCTCGTCGTACCCGTTCGTTTAGCCCGGTCCTTGGATTCTGAACCGAGCGTAGCCAACGTAGTCGGTGAGGAACGGCCTTCTCTTCTTGTATGATCCTTCTTTAGATTCTTTTATTTGACCCTTCTTTGGATTCTTTTATTTCTTCGTTCCATCATCCGCTCGTCGTACTCACTCATTTAGCCTGTTCCTTGGATCCCGAGCCAAGCGTTGCCAACGTAGTCGGTGAGGAACGACCTTCTCTTCTTGTGTGATCCTCTCTTCTTCCTTGTTCGATCCTTCTTGGGATTCTTTTATTTGATCCTTCTAGGGATTCTGTTGTTTTGTTCGTCATCCGCTCGTCATACCCGTTGTTTAGCCTGGTCCTTTGGATCCTGAGCCGAGCGTAGCCGACATAGTCAGTGACGAACGGGTTTGTCCCCTTTGGGGATTCCCCAATGCCCCTCTAA